GTCGTAAGACGTACAAAGTTTATATAGAATATATATGCACAACATTTTTAATAGTTTTAGAGTACCTTTCATTAATTATCTCATTTAATAAATAAATCACAACGATGAATTCAGAAACTTACAAATATATACAACAAAAAAACTAATATTCCATTGAGTTCTCGACTCAATTAAAAGTTCCCAACGCATTAATAAATCAGGATTATTTAAATACTCTATAATATTAAGGTTTTGAACTGACCTTCTCAAAGTCCACAGCTCAATGTAATAAGATAACTTCGACACAATAATAAAAATGAATTTACATAATAATCCAATTTTTAATTGTTGAGAACTGTACAATTTTGATTAAAAACCAGTTCCCAAACAAGTAAAAATTGTAAATATATTACATGAATAAATAAATCATTACCTTAATTAACAGTGCTCAGTTTAATTCAAACTTAAAATTAACTACTTTTTACTCATCTTATTTCCAATCGATAAGCCAAATCAAGTAAAGATTTAATTAAATAAACTTTAAGAAAAATAATCAGCTGCCAGCTGAGCTTAGTTTGTTCCCAATATTTATATATTAAATTTGGGTAATTTATATAATATTAGGGTTACAGTTACACACTCTTAATACTTAGCTTTTAAGTTAATATCTTATTTTCGTGTGAGGCAAATTATGCTCAAGCTGTAGATGATTACAAATTGGCACACAACAGCGTCAATTCAATCAATAATGTCACATCAGCGATGATTGTCAGTCTCAATATAACAATTTTTCTTTTATTTTTATTTCTATTTCATTTTTTTTCTTGTGTTGGCAATTATTTAGACATTTTGTTATTCATGGGCTTGGCTGAATTTGAGTGCGTGTGTCGCTTTAAGCAGTCAAAGATCTTACGCTAATTTTAAGCATCTCTTGGATCTCACACTACACAGACACACACAAACACACACACAGAAACACCCACGAGCTGACAATCTCATACACACACACACACACACACAAACTGGCAGCATTTCTCCCACGCTGCGTGTTGAATTTCAATGCATACTTTTAGGCCAAACATCACAGAACACAAGTTACAAAAAAAAAAACGAGAAATGGAAAAAAAATACATTCGTTTGCCATTTCGCATATCGTTTGTGTTGTCTGTGTCTGGGTTAGGATGGAGGGACGGGGGGCAGGGTCTCATGGTAACTAGGAATCACATGCGATTGGCATTTGACGCCAAAAACGCTGACGATGACGACTTTTCTTCACTTCTCTTCAACTTTTTTTTTTGAATTTTTGTTTTTTATTTTTGGATTTTTTCTTTTTTTTTGCGACACTTGCAAGTGGATTTATTTTGCAATGGCCCCAACGGAATTTTAATGGATCGTTTTCCAGCCCTTCCCATCGTTCCCATTCCCTTCCCCTTCCCCTACGCACGTGTTCTTCTATTTTTTTTTTTGTTGCGCTCGCGTCTGCTTAAAATTTCACTCATGCCGACATCGTTTCGTTTCCACTCGTTCCTCGCTGCTCGTCATTTTGTCGCTTCTACTCTTGTCTCGTTTCGTTCCCGTTTGCTTCGTCCCGCAACTTTTTACAGCTGCTCGTGTTTGTTTTCGTTAATTCGTCTCGCGCTTCCTGCTTTTATTTACATTTCACTGGGGACGAGTACAGCAACAACATCCCTCTCTTCCCTTCCCTTCCCCACAAGCCCATTCATCATGTTGCTCATAAAATGCGAAAATTTAATTAGTCGTGTAGGTAAAAATGACATTTAAAATTATTTGTTCATGTGCGCCACATTGATGGGCACTTCACATAACGTAACGTTAGCTTACGTTACGTAATGTAACGTAAGCTTGTTATGCCATTTGGAAATGGTTCTTTGATTTTTATTATGAGACAAGTTAAAAACACTTTTTGTACATTTTTTATGGCTAGCATAAAAATCTTAACATTATTTATGGACTGACTGTTTGAGTCATTAAAAGCAGAACACATCAAATGATTTATAGTTAACAATTAAATGAAGATGATTGATGAGGCCATTAAAACTGAAATTGGAAATATTTTCGCCATTTTATCTATTGCTCAAGATCTTTACTCTTAACTCTATTTAAATTAAATTGGAATAGATAAAATTTAAAAGCAGGAAATTTGAAACCAAAAGAGGCACTTTTATTGTTCATAAATGAATAATTTCAATTATTTAGAGTATATTCAGCAAACAGTTATTATTATTATTTTTTTTGGTGGGTGTTGATTGATTAGATCTCTCGCTTCACATACAGAGCATAAATATAGTGTTGAAAGTGAATTAAATTCGTGCCTCGAACTGAAATAAATAAACATTAATCGAGTATTTATTTAACGTATTTATGCATTTGTATTTTTAAGGTCGTATTTTTGTCACAATCCCAGGCAACGGGTTTAGCTAACCCTAACCCATTTAATACCACTCACACACTCAGTCACACACACACACACACACACACACTCACTCTCACGTAGTAGTTAAGCGCACCTAAATACATTTTTGCTAGAATAAACAAGCAACCTTGGAATGTTTACCATAAAAAGTAGGTAAACTTGAGTGCAAAAATTGCGTATGGAGTGTGCGAGAGTGTGTGTGTGGGAGTGGGTGTGAGTGTGTGTGTGCTTAAGAGTTCATCTACACAGCATACGAAATGGTAAAATAAATGCACATACAAAAATGTGAAAAACTAGAAGAAGAAGCCGAAGCAGAAGCAGAAGCCATCCAAGAACTCAACTGAATGAAACGAAATATAAAAAAAAAGAAACAAAATAAAAATAACAAGCAGCAACAAGAAAGAAAAATGAACAGAAACAGAAACCAAACACTAAAGGGCTGTTGCAAGTGGGCCAAGAATATGTGTGTGTGTGTGTAGTTGTTGCGAGTATGTAGTGTTGTGTGTGTGTGTGTGGATGAGGGGTCTCCGTCGCTTTTGCGGTCCAATGTCGAACACATTACAAGCAAAAGCACTTTTGACAAAAGTAGGCGCCAGCGAAAATAAACAAACAAATGCCAACAAACGAAACGAAACAAAGACGACACAGACTAATGATAAAGACAGCGATTGCGAGGTCGTCAGAGAGGGACGGAGAGAGAGAGAGAGAGAGAGAGAGAGGAGGTGGGGTTGCAAAGATTGTGTGGCAAGAGATAGGCGCGCGCTCTTGCTCATGATGCATGTGGTGGACTAAAGGATTTCCAGATTTCAAGGACTACAGCATTAAGCAAAGGAATTTGTGTGCGTGAACAATGAATGCCAACAAGCAGATTGAAGACAGTTCAGCAGCATCGCACCGACGACTGAATACACTTGCAAAACATTTAATATCATCAATCTATGATGATCATTATTCATTACTATTTTTTCATTTGACTAAAATATCAACATAATCAACATCAAAAGAATTTTCATGCTTAAAACAAGATTTTCATATTTTAAGTATTCTTAACTTATTTTACACATTTTCTTTTATGCAAGCAAAATTTAGTATGACACTTAAAAATGAATATTTATGCTTAAAACAAGATTTTTATTAACAAAATCAAGAATCAACAATTTTAAACTTTTTGAAAACTAGTATAAAACCTTAAAATTAATATTCATGCTTATAGCCAAGATATTCAGGAATATTTAACTCATTTTGAATGTTTTTTGCAATTTAATTTAATTTAATTTAGTTTCGTACAGAACATACTCATTATTTAAAAAAAAAAAGAAGGAAATTTAAAAATGTGAAAACAACTTTATTTATTTAATTTTATTTTATTAAATTTTGTTGTTTAAAGCAGTTAAAACAAATAAACTCTTAATAGGGAGTAAATAAAACAAAGATGAGAGTCCTCAGTGAAGAATGGGGAAGGGAAGAGCGGGCTATGTGGGTGTGGGGGAACTTAACTTGAAGAAGGGCCAACAATAAACTGAGATAACAGCAGCAAAAAAACAACAACAAGTGCAGCAAACACGGATATGAAAAGAGGCAAGCGAGCTTCGAAACGGATGTCATTAAGATGTGTGTATGTGAATGTGTGTGCGAGTGTTGGTGTGTGTGTGTGTGTGTGTAAAGAGTGCGTGTGTTTGCATGAAAATGAACTGCAGCAGATAGAAAAAGAAAATGCGGCAGTTGCAGCAGCCACCGCTGAAAAGTATGCAACGTAAAAGGCACGGTTCGGTGGAGGGTGATGGGGATCGAGGGGACGCTGGCAGGTGCAACATGATGAGTTCCGGCGTAAAAGAAACCAATTTGCCAGTAAACAGCACAATCTTCAAACCAACAGCAGCAGCAACGACAACAACAACAATGCGATGGTCAAACAAAAAAATGAGAAATGAAAAAGCAAACAAAGCGAAAGCTCAAGAGATAAAGAGCAGAGGGAAAAGGAAAACGGAAAAATGGGAAAACGGATTGTGCAAAGTGCAATTAACGAAACATCAGAAATTTAAATTGTAAATATTAATGAAATATATATGCTGAAGCAAGATATATTTGGCAACCATGGCAAAAATATTATATTTATAAGCAGAAAGAGTGGTAGGGAGAGGGAGAGAGAGAGAGAGAGAAAGAGAGAGAAATACAGAAATAAATTCAGTTTAAAAGCAAATATGACCAAGGCAAAGTGAAGAACACTTTTTGGTGCAAGCAATAAGCAGAAGTTGGCAGAACTCAAGTTAGAATGTGCCAGTTGAGAGAGCTCGACTAGCAGATACCCTAAGCTCAATAGGTTTGCGGATAACAGTTTGTTCCACATGAAAATACAATTTTCCTGATCAGCATCAGAAGCGAGTTTATTCATATATCATACTCAGTGAGATATATATATTCCTTGTGGGATAGAACATGCATCCTGATGCAGGGTGTAAATCATTTACTTTACGGTAACAATATTGATATTTATATATATTTAAATCATTTCCAATTTCTAAACAACATGTTTTGTTACAGTTTCGGGTGCTTAATTGTTAGATTAATATATGGCCCAACGATTCGTCTATATAACTGATTTAGCCAACGCAATAATCGAGCCCGTAAAGCGCAGAATCTACAAAAGTAATGGAAAATAAAGATATAAAAGAGTCAAACTTGAATATAGTACTCCAAAGAGAATTCAATATCATATGTAATATTAAATATTATAATACGATGTATAATATTGAATTCTTTTTGGCATATCGCAATCCTAACCGATGTAAGCGTCTCCATGGATGGCGAGAAAAAGGGTATCTTGACGACGAGCACACGCTGAGCTCGGGCAATCATCAGCAGCGTCATCTTCTGCACAGGAACACTATGGCCATACCAATGACTTGCAAAAGTGCTTCTGGCCAGATCCAAGCACTAAACAATACAAGTGCAAAGCAATAGTTAAGGAAATAACAAAAAAGCAAACTTCAATTAGAAAAATGTGTTTCATGTCCAATCAAAATAAGAAGAAAAAGAACTGATTAAAGCTCAAAAATAACAGAGACTTGTGTACGTACCGCCTCCATAATGTAGGTGCCGCCCAGGCAGTACAAAAATATTTCTGTGGTCACCGCCAAGGTGTAGACCAGATAGACAATGATGCCAACGCCCGAGAACTAAGCCGGATAAGATTAAACAGTGGGTGAGCGTGAGAGAGACAGAGATAGAGAGTAAGGCAGAGGAAGAGGAAGCTAACCCACCATGAGCATATCCAGGATACTGGTGCCTATAATCAGGCTGGAGGTGACAAAGTGTGCCAGAGTGATTTCGACCATAACGCCAGAGAGTCGTTCCGTCAGATCGGCGATCTCGTTGTGACGATTGATGAGTTTCACCATTTCCCGCACAATTCGCTTCTCCTCCTGCACCGTTGGCTCCACTTCGATTCCCTTGCATTCCAGCTGCAGTAGATCCTTGATATCGTCACGTAGAGATCGCAGGAGCACCGTTAGATACAGACAGAAGCCGAGAAAGAAACCATCGGCGCCCACAAAGCAAGCGACGGTGATGTAACCATGCCAACAGACCAAAGCATAGATCCATGGATATAGCGGTAAGCGCAGAAACACATCGGGAAAACTATATAAAAGAAAGTCATAACCAGAGTTAGAGTCAGTGTGCTCAACTGATAAATACCCTGTAATTATAAAAGCCTGTCTACAATCGATATATATATCGATAACAATTTGCACTCGACTCACTTCATCTTGAATGGCGTCTCGTAGATCCAAACCTTGCCATGCGACAGTCGCAGCATATTCTCGAATATGTGTCGCACAGTGTACGAGGTGCTGGTGCAGGTGCCGCACAACAAAAGCAACGCTGTCAACCTGGTTGCCAGAGTGTAGTAACTCTTCTTATAGCCCAATTTCCTGTCCGAATGCTGCTCCTCGGTCAATTGGCGAATGCGATCGATGAGCGATTTGAATTCATCGCGATAATACCAAACTGACAGCATTTTAATCAGCGACAAAATGCTCGAGGCAACGGGGCAAAGTGCATCCAGTGCAAGTCCAATATTAATGGGTATCTGTTGGATGCCATAGGCACCCTCCGCATAGCAGCCATAGGTGAGTATGCTGAAATTGAAGAAACTCCAAGCAAGCAACGCCCAACTGCGCTTCTGTTCCGGATAGAAGCCGATTAAACTTAACGCAAACTTCGGCACCATAAAATAATGCGCCTCCATCGGATAGGAGCTGCTCAGGACGCGTGGCCACATCTTTAACAGAAATACTAGTTAGTAGTTTGTCGCTTTTCACTTTTATATATGCTCTTTGACCGCATAATTGATGAGCTGGGCGCTGGCCTTGCTTCAAAGTTCAATAAGTTTTTAACCAACCACAAAAAGTTGGTAACCGGCAATTAGGCAAACTATTTAACAGTTTGGGGCGTAATTGAAATTAATAATCAGTTTTTATAACTCCTTGGCTTGCTTACTCATTTCTCTCTTCCTCTGCCATTTTTTATGCTTTAGCTAAAAATGTTCACAGCCTTTTATTAAATTATTTATATGTGTATTTAAATATTTAAGCCCTACATTTATTATCTTCCAAGTGGAAGGCTTTTACGAGTTCAGACAATTGCAAATCGAATAATTACTAACAACTCTGCTGAAATTATCAATACAGATATTTATACATATTTACTGAGCATAGCTGCACCTGGTCAATATTAATATTAATTTGGCCGGCTCTCCTCGTTTGATTTACTTCATTTCGTAAAGCACAAATATATTTGAAATCCTGTTTGTAGCACATCCAATCTCCCGCACACTTTCCACTCCCCAGTCGTGTGCAGCCAAAACAAATTGAGTTCCCCCAACAACTAAATACACAGAGCTTTAGCCAGCTGCAGCTGCAGCTGCAGGTGCAAGTGTTGCCAACCAACTTGCAGTTTAAATAAATATTATATGAGCTCTCCATGTGCATGGGTCTGTGTGTGTGTGTGTGTGTGTGTTGGTATGTTGGTTGGCATGATTATGCAAACTGCAGTTATTTGGTGTATGCGAGGAGAAGGCTAATAAATTAATCTAGCCAGTCTGCCCAGGCACAGACAGAGAGAGAAAGAGAGTGAGCGTCCGGCCTGGAACGGAACTGCTCTTTGCATAATTGATGGCTGCAGGTGTATTTGCGCTCAAATGAGGCATGCTAAACACATGCCTTTGACACTTACACACACACACACATCACACATCACACATAACACACACACACAAACACACACACACACATACGGGTCAAGCCCACTCATTGAGCAATAAAACTGAAGCTTTTGCCTGCCCACATTGTTAACCAAAACAAAAAAAATAAATGTATTTACACACACAAGCAAAATAAAACTGCACATTCTGTGTGTGTGTCTCTGTGTGTGTGTGTGTGTGGGGCTCGTTGATGTTTGCTGCCCAAGCAATAAATATCAATATAAATGAATAGCCGACATAAACACAGCAATAGAGGAATTCCGAATACTCTACGAACAAAAGGATTAAAAGTGTTACGAATTTTCGATTCAATTTGCATAGATTTTGATAGGTCAAGTTATATGATTTGCATTTTTATTCACATCCTCATATCATCAATTTGTACAGTTTAAAGAAAGTTTAAAGAAAATTAAAAAATTAAAGCCTTAAGATATGCAAAGAATTGTTTTAAATTTCCAAAATATATTCTTTCTGTATTTGTAAATTTTTCAAAACAATGTTTTAAGGTCAAACAATTTGAAAAGAGTTCTATCAAATTTTGCAAGTATGCAAAGTACATTTTACAAAATTCTTAACAAACATAAATAACGGTTCTTCAATTTTTTGAAAACTACTAAAATTTCTTAATAAATTTATGGAGTTTTTTAATAGTAGTAGTCAAACAAATCAATAAATTTTAGTTTTTCAAAAAATTTCTAGTCTCTAACCACCCTACAAACGTGATGTTGGCTTGTAAATACTCCATAGACCCTCTACAGGGACAAGGACCTATGTTTCAGCGTGGGTTCAACGAAAACGCGCCTTGGCCTATTCAAATTGAAAAATTTACGTGGAAAACATGCAAATTTATGCCATAAACACAATGAACTTAATGTGACTAAAGCCAGGCAAAAAAGAAAAGAAAAAAAACTATGGAGAGAGAAAAACCCAAACTGGGCCTGCTGAACCAAACTTATGGCCAAAAAGCGACATCCACATTGATGACTCGATTTGTAGGGGCCAAAAAAAAAGAGGAACATAAACAAGAAAAACAACGAGAAAAAAGGAGGCGGTAATTTTTTTTTCTTTGTGGGGCGTGACAAAAATTATTGACAAAATTATTGAACACGTTTCGAGCGTGACACAATAAAAAGGGCAACTCTTTGTTAAATAAAAGGGGCGTGGTGCGACAGGTATATAGAAGTTGGGGTGTGGCATTATGTTAAACATATATATATATATATATATATATATATATATATATATATATTTGTGTACATATATACATCACTGGACTATATGAATTTATAATCAGCTGTTTGCTCGACCGCGCCACATATGAATCAATAAAATACTGTCTAATAATGAACATAACAAATTATATATTGAAAAATAAATCAAATGTGTATGTAATTTGCAGAAGGAAGCTTCTCCGACACCATCAGTACATATACTTTTGATCAGAATCAAGAGACAAGTCGATATAGCCATATTTGTCTGTCCGTAAGTAGAGACTTCAAATTTGGAATTAATTTTGTCGTATCGTTTTGCAAATATCGATACATTTCGACTTCCGATAGCAATAAAAGCCACAGCTTAAAAAATAATTCACATTTCATAAATATCATATGAGAAATTATAGTCGAAAATCTGTTTCCAAATTGATCTCAATTTGCATGAATTTTACATATGAATAAACTAGAATCTATTTAAAAGTTGTATTCAGGGCTTATAGTAGTTGATTTATTCGTACTTTATTGCTCAATGGAGTTAAATTGAGGATAAGCAAATTTGGAATAAACCTTTTTTGTTGCCACTTTTTATGCTGCATTCAAAAATTTCGGATGCATTTTTTATGACAAACTGGATGAGGTTAATTTGCTTATGCATTAGTGTTAGTAATGTTTCACACACACACACACACACACACACATACACACATCAAATTTATTGTATGACTGTCTCCCATCAATAAAACAAACAGTGAAATAAAGCCATGCCCCCTTCACCCCCCAACCCGCCACCCTTCAGAATGCATTTGTTGTCCGCCTTTTGTTCGGCGATAAACTTAATTTGAATAATAAATTACGTTGATATTTAATCAGCGCTGGCGCAGCGATAAAATTCAATGGCCTCTCGAGTCCATTGAGAGTCAGCCAGACAGATAGATATATATATATATATATATATATATATGTATTCATGTATAACGTGACGTGCAGCTGATAATGGATAAGCTCAGACCTCGTTGCCGCTTGTCGTTGCACATTTTACCGTTGCTCGTTTGTTGCATGCCGCATGTCCTTCAATGAGTAGGGGGTGGGGCGGGGAAGGGCTTTGTTTCTCGGCACGCGCTGCCCATAAACTGCATAAAGTCATTATCGTTAAGCAGAATTTGTATTAATCAGATAACAAAATTATGAACAATTAAGTCATTGCATGTGAATTGAAAATTTAAATGGCCACGAGTCCAACAGCACTTGCTACCATTAATGACACACACAATACACATATATATACGTCGAACATTATGACAGGATATAAATTTACACACACACACACAGATGCAGAGCTCGGCAGAAAGAGACAAATGCAAATGAGGCTCATAAACAAGCACACAGCAATTTCCTTTTAGAGCTGCACTAAAAGCCAACAAAGAGTATCGAATTCGTGTTAATAATTACTTTAATTTTAAAAACAAAACATAATATTAATATTATTTTATTATTTATTATTAATTAACGATTAAATATAGCACGGGGAATCCCCATAAATGCGGTTAGCATATTGATTACTCGCTGAAAACCTATAATAATATAATATAGTATTTATTGTCAAGATATTTGTTTATTTATTTAATGTGGACTTATAACTTTAATGATTAAAGATTTAAGCACACCAAAAAGTAAAAAATTGTAAGAAAGAAAAAGAGAGAGATATAGAAAAGATTGGCATATCTCTGAACCTGTGGATTAAGATGAGTTTACCACAGTTAAGCATGGTCTGAGTTTTCCCGAAGATAAAAAAGTATTAAAGATGGAGAGAGAGTTCCATCGAGAATAAAATATTGTGTATGCGTTCCTAGAAGGTCTAGTAGGAATTGAAAGTTGAGACAATCTAATAGAAAAGCGGAATCAATTAACTTATTCAATCTTAGTATTTATACTATAAATAGATAGCAACATTCATTCGATATAACATATAGATATAGAGCTCAAATTTGAAATCCTATTTATTTAATTTTATCGATATCTGCCTCCGTTTAATAATCGAATACCAATAACCATAAAAAATAAATTAAATCAAAAATTAAAAGGTATTTCCTAGTCGAGTTCTCTCCCAAAGAGAATATTGCTCCTTGTTCGATTTGTAGAACTAAATAAATTATATCACTGAAAGCCTTGGCCAGTTAATATGTGTTGCAGCTGCTCATTATAATATATGAATATATATGTATATACAAATATTTATATAAACTTGATATCTGCTTTGGCAATATTAGCTTTATCATGTTAAATGTACAATTGCCAAACTTTGTTGTACAAACTTTTCAACGAAGTCATTCGAAGGCAAGTACAAAACGGGCAGCAACAAGCAAAACAGCAGAAACAACAACAAAGCAACAACAACAACAACAACAAACAACAACAAACAACAACAAACAACTATAAACAACAACAAGAACTGTACCACAGCCGAAAAATAAGTATGCAAACCAAATTTTTGTTGGAACACATGTTTAATATGCATTTCATTAAATAAACACAACAAAATGGCAAATGGCAAGTGGCAAGTGGCAAGCAAAAACATTGCGCCCAGCTTGTTAGACATTTCAACCAAGGGCGGTCGCCAACTGGGCGTGGCATGGGGACTAGGGAGGCCGTGACACATTTAAAACGAGTTTTGCGGTTACTGAACTGTGCGTGTGTCTGTGTCTGTGCGTGTGTGTGTGCGTGTGTTTGTGCAACAGCAGCCACACTGTTTCCGGCGGAAATCGCGCAAAGTTGTCACTTGCCACACGGCCAAAAACATAAACCAGA